GTAAATATTCTTCAGACGTACTAAAGTAAAGGTGGACAGCGTTTTTCTTAAAAATATCACTGTTACGTAGTAAACAAAATCCGGAAAGTTCTCGCTTCGTGATTTGTTCAATACTTCGAACGCGGCTCGAGTCCGTCCCGACCATCTGTCAAAGCCTCGTGCTGCGGGCTCTCGAACTTCGCGCCGTCACCTCTCATTGGTCAGTGTGTTCCGTTAATAACTCGTAAACAAAGCCGCAGATCGCATTTGCGCAAAGGAAAAAGTTACTTCAAATGACCTAAGTTGCCCCTCATTTTCGGCTAGTAAAATAATTGTGGAACACCCTGTATATAACAATTATAATATAAACAAATATATAATATAATAATTATTACTAAATTTTAGAGCACGGTTACTTACTTCGGAGTAAAGCTGCAAAGTGAAGGAACAAAACCTGCCCGCTGTGATCCGCAGTGGTAATAAATCACGACACATAATAATTATCAATAGCCTGGCATTATTAGCCGACAGATTGTACCATGCGCAGTTGTACGCTGCGTTGGCTATCTGCCTTCCCTGTAGAAAAGTGACAACATCTTAATGAACTTGAATCGTGCAGCATCTCTAACAAAAAATGCTTCGCATCGATGCTGTTCGTTTACTCGTACAAAGTCGAATGAACAATTAAATCAATTTTTTTATTAAATTTTTTTAATTAAATCAATTAGTCGTCGATACGTTTATATTGCATAAAAATTTTTACTCGACTCTCAGACGCTTCTACAATTTTCGAAGGTTATACATTTTCAACTATTTTCTGGTATTCGAGAATATGTTGCAGGCTGATCAAGAAGTATTGTTTATTTGTTGAAACATACGTACCTCAATTGTGAGTCTGTCGCCTACGTAACAATACAAGTATAACTGTGCCATGATGTAAATTACATAGATCGACAGAAAAGAGATTTGAACGGACATAAGATTCTTGTCTTCGTCGCTGAATGTCTGCAATTCAAATATTTCTTCACTGTTATTCCATACGTCGTATTCCACATTCGTTTCATAAATAGGTACCATTGTTCGTACCATAATAACTTGGAAACACTGAAAACAGAGCTGCAGCGTGCAACCGAGCATCTGAAGCAGCAGCATCGCGTTGAAACAGTTTTCTATTGTTCCCGCGAACCTTCACCCACAAAATCCATTTCCGTTTTTTCAATCTAACACAACATATGGTCGCGATAATCTCTATTGGAAGAAAAGTGAACAAATTCTACTGAATATTTTGCTAAAAGTTTTCAGTTTAATCCTGAAATTATTTCTCATTATTTCCGAATATCCACTAATGAAGGAAGAAAATAGAATAGATAAATGGAAGAAATAACTACGATAATAAATAATAATAAAAGTATAGTAGAGTAGAATAAATAATAATGATAAAAATTAAATAAAAGTGTTAATTAAGTAAAACAATAAATAATAATAAAAGTATATCAGAAATAATAGTAAATAAGGAAGAAAATAACCTTGTAATCTGCGTTCGCTATAATATTTCAACAATTCATCGTTTTCTTTATAACCTAACCGATATTTCACATAATTATACGACTT